TATATATATATATATACACACACACATATCATATATATGATTTTTTTTCTGCTCCCTTACTTGCGTTTAATTTCAAAAAAAACTTACTACTACTTGGTATCATCATCAAAAGATGACGATGAGGCTCTGCAAAACCAAACAAAACCAAACTAAAAATATAAGAAAAAGATTTGAAGATAAGCTAAGCACTACAAGTGACGCAGGTACAGCCGGGGCCACATTTGCAGACCGCTCTGCCGGTGGAAGTCACTTCGGTCTTGGAACAGGTGCAGGGGTTGCAGCCACAGTGCTCACCGCACGAGCACACCTTGTGAGTCACCCCGCTCCCCGTTTCAGTTTTTACGCAGCTGCATCCATTTTGCGTTAATTAATTTTCTTTATGTAAAATTATAAATTATTTATTAAAAAAAATTATAAATAAAATATTATGAAAAAATTAAAATAAAATAAAGATAAATTAAATAATAAAAATTAAATAACCATTAAATAGAATAAATGAAAGAAAAACTAATATGTCATTTTTACTTCTTATATATAAATCATATATTGTTGTATACGTAAAATATTCCATTTTGATTTAATAAAAAATTTATGTTCTTATATCTCTATTAGTTAAAAAAAATTGCATCAACAACAATTTATAGTCTTCAGTTTATTTGCAACGTTTGGAACAATATGGCCAAAAGACAAAGGTAGAAATTAAAACTAAAATAATTAAAGAATTAAAAATAATAATAATTAAAGAATGAAAACCTGCAAGCGGCGCCGCCGGGGCATGGAGAAGGACAGCCACAGGTGTCGCTACAAACAACTGCACCTCCTCTGATGTCCGCCATGAGTGATGTTTAACGAAGTAACTGGGAAGAGGAACAAGAAAAAACAGGCTACAGATGAAAATTAATGAAGATTATTATGTGTGTGTGTCTATATATAATGTACGAATGTATTACCCCTAAAATTCCAAGTGTCAAACAGGCATGAGAGGTGATGGTGCGGAGGGCACGTAGCCTGAAAATTCGCATCTGTAAATACCAGATGGCTCTACCTTATTCTCGTCTCCGTTTCTCAATCCTTGTTTACGAAAATATGTAACTTATTTCTGTCACGTGTTTATATATATATATATATATATATTATTTATTTATTTACGTATAAGTAATTGATAACAAATTTTTATTATTAAAAAAACTTCAGTTGGATTTTGAAAAATTATTTTTCTCTTTAACTTTTACTAATTTTTTGACATAAATTAATTGTTGCAGCTATTAAGATCTTTAACATTTTCAAATATTATTTGAAAAAATCCATTTAATTCATATTATTTTTATTATTCATTTTTCCCTCATTATTTTTCTCAGCTGAATTGCTAACAAAGTGAATTGCATTTTTGATCCCATGGTATTTCTCCATTTTTACATGTTGGAGGTTCAAAACTCCATCAATTCCATGCTTTTTAGAATAATGTTTAGATTTAAAAAAAAAAAAATTTACTTTCTAGCTAGAAACATAAAATAATTGAAAACAAGATATTTCTTTGCTTGCAATAAGATGTTATAGGAGACAAATAACAATCATTTATAGAGTTATAATTGTTATAGCAATCTTCTCTATCTATCATCTACACCAATGAAACATTAAAGTTGCAACCCAAATTCCTTTTTTTCACTTATTCTAAGCCTCATGTGTAACAGATAGTTCCAACGAAACCTGGTTCTGATAACAATTATAATGTCTGGACCCTTTATTTGAATCTTGAACGTATACCCGCTACTTAATTAACAAAAACTATGATAACATAATTCAAATACAGCAAGTCAATATAATGTTTACAAAAACATTCCTTGCATGTATCTCTATGACGTGAATACGATCATGTGGCAACCGTGGATAACGAGATTTTGAAAAGTTTTTAAAATAAGTACTACAACTAAAAAAAAATATTAATCTAACACCCCTGAAACCTCCGTACTTAATTTGTAATGTAAATTCCTATTTATTCGATCCCTAAAGTCGTTTAAACTCTTTAATATTTCATATTTTGAATTTTCAAATGAATTTCATATTATTTGATTAAATAATTATTAAAATTATTTTTCGTAGGCAATTTATATTTAAATTAATTAAAAAAATTTAGGAAAAATAGCAGAAAATTCTGCAGGAATGCTCACGGGATAGATCCTGCCCCCGCGCGCGGCCAGCACAAGACGTGTGCACTGTGTACACGTCCCATCTGCGCAAGACACCAAGCGCGATCTACACGCTCATCCCAATGCGCGTAGACGGGCACGCAACTCTGCACGCTCTGTGTGTGCGTCATCCGCGCGGTAGGCCTACGCACCGATAGCCTGCACACAGTAGGCCTATGCACAGTAGACTTGTGCGTGGTAGGCCTGTGCACAGTAGGCCTGCTCGTAGTAGGCCTATGCGTGCAACAAGCTAGTCCTATGGCGTGCGGCAAGCTGAAGAGGTGCGTGCTGCCAGTTGAGCGATGTCACCTTGGGCGGTGTGTCGCTGTCACTTAGGCGGTGTGTCTCTGTTACTTGGGTGATGTGTCGCCATCGTTTGGGTGGCATGCCTCCAATTTTCATGTTGCCATCACATCACGTCGTCCATCTGTAGGTCGTCACATCTCATCATTTCACCTTGACTTTTTCTCTCTTCACCAAATTTTGCCACTTGGCGCATATTTAACGATCCCCATTTTCTATAAACAGGGACCCCCACTTCACCATTTTCTCATCACTTCCACTTCATTCTTCCATCCACCAAAAGGTCTTAGAGAGAGAGGGAGTGATTTAGAGAGAAAAGATTATGAGAAGAATGAGAAAAAGCGTAGGAAACACCAAGGTTTCGGTAAGAAATTTAATATTTATTTTTAAACATCCTAAAGAGTATTTCTATATTAAACTAACAAATTTTAAATTAAATGGTTACATGCTTAATCTTATATGCTTAAATAAAATGATTTATGAGTTAATGCATGTTTTGTGAACATATGTAAGTAAATTAATTTCATGTTCATTTTAAATGATTAAATGCTTGGGATAAATGTTGATGTGTGATACATTGTACAATGGTAAAGAAATAAAGCATGAAGTGATATTTAAACATGTGAAATATGTATTGGTATCAGCATGCATGATTCATAAAATGTTTCCTTAGGTTTTTTATCTCTGATGGGTTCTATTTCTCCCCCATTTGGTTTGAAAAGACATTAGACGACCCCTCATTATGGATGACGGTGTACCATTTGACGAGAGTGGTGATGCGATACGATTGTAAGGGTCATTTTTGCCGAAGAATGACCGTGACCATAGTTAACCTATAGGACCACTGTGGTTGGCATGGTCGTGGTCATAGATCGTATCATGGTTTTTTAAAAAAATTTAAAAACTTGAGACTGTTTTTTTAATAAAATACACAATTATAATTACAGAAGAAAATAGATCAAAATTTGAACAGTAAAATAATATTTTGTCCTTAATATAATTCGTACATTGTGAAATGAGCAGACTGACTATGATTCATATAATTATTTTTTAGTTTATTTATTTATTATATATTTTTTAATTATAATCATACTAAAACTAATTAATTAATTTTTTTTCATAAATCTTCAAATAAAATTATATTAAACTTAGACAGTTGGAACTATAATTTCTATTAAAATTAGATTACAAAATTATTTAAAACTTTTAATAAAATTATATATAACATAATATAAAAAATTTAGTTTATTTTAATAGTATTATTAACTATCCAAAAAAAAAATTTCAAATTTTCTTACTTGAATTAATTTAAATGAGGAAAAAAAAAGCTTCGTTATCATATTAATTCAATTGAAGAAGAATTTGAATGTACAAATTAACCTACAAATGGCAAAATAAACAATTAGGTTTGATTTGTTTTTGTTAGAAAAAATAAAGAGATAGGCTAGCTGAATATAATAATTTGTTGAAATATGAGACGAAAAAGTAAGAGAGATTAATTGAGAAACTCAAGTGTTGATTTGTGGCTAATGTTAAAAGCCTTCAAGTACATGAGTATTTATAAGTACTAGTACTAATACTACTACTACTACTAATACTACTATTATTACTGTTACTGCTAGTACTATTGTTACTTTTATTACTTCTACTATTATTACTATTGCTACTACTAATGCTACTATTGTTAATGTTACTACTGCTACTATTACTACTATGTTTACTACTGCTACTACCACTGCTTGTGCTACTATTACTAATACTGCTACTGCTATTACTATTTTATTATATATAACATCACAAAAAATTTTATTTTAATAGTATTATTAACTATCTAGTATTTTTTTTCAGATTTTCTTCCTTGAATTAATTAATTAATTTAAATAAAGAAAAAAAAATTTGTTGTTAGATAAATTCAATTGAAGAAGAATTTAAATGTACAAATCAACCTACAAATGGAAAATAATTAATTAATTTATTTTTTTAGAAAAAATGAAAAGATAGGCTAGCTGAATAAAATAATTTGTTGAAATATAAGAGGAAGAATTAAGATAGACTAATTGAGAAACTCAAGTTTTGATTTGTGGTTGATGCTAAAAGTCTTCTAGTACATGAGTATTTATAGGTACTATTACTACTACAGATGCTACTACTACTATTAATACTACTACTACTACTACTGTTATTTCTACTACTGCTACTACTTCTAATACAACTGCTACTAATACTGCATTATATGTAATAATGCAAAAAAATATAGTTTATTTTAATAACATTATTATGTAACGACCCCAAAAATCCAAAAGAAAATATATAATAATTTAAGTATAGAAGTGAAATAAAAAGTTAAAGTTTATATCTCTTATACAATAACTTAAAAGTACTAAACAAACATCGCAGAATGAATTTTCTAAAAGAAACACGAGAAATGAGAAAAAAAGGAAAATATAAAATATCTAGCATCTACTTGCAGTCTTTTTGCGGATCGGGCTTGGGAATAAGGTCCTCTTGATCTGAAATAGTTAAATAAGAAATAGCTACACTAGCCTAGTAAGGACATCACACTATATCACCGGCACTGAAGCAAAGGTTGGTAGAAAATCAAAACAACCAATAGAGCAGTAGATTTAAACGAATACATTTATTTAAAATAAAACCATTTACCCTTTTACTTACCATTGGGGAATTTATGAAAATAAATTATAGAAGTAATAATATCATACAGATCATGACTTCATGTACGACCAGCAACATAAAACATATCATAAATTCACATTTATTAACAATAAACGAAATTGTAACCGTTTCTCATTTCACCAGTCTACTAGTATCCATGGGGATCCATAGGAGTGTCTCCGCTACACGTGAACCCTTTTCCTTAACAGTCTTAATTACATAGCCGACCCCATACCCCGTTTGGTATGAGTATCGAGACATTAAACCTCAATACTCCGTCCGGTATGAGTGCCAAATGACCAAGTCTCCATATCCCGTCTGGTATGAGACAACATTCACGGTAGGGTTTCCTATGAACTCGGTCCGTCCACCATCTCTCAGGATACCTAGTGAGGCTGTCATCTTATCTGTTTATTAGATCACACCATTTTCTATTTTTCCTTAGTCTCCATTACCAATTCAAACATAATCGCATAAATAATGAATATGCATCCGGTAATGCAATCATATCTTAAATCTCAAAATCAACCAATGGTCAAGTAAGGCAGTAATACATGCATTTAAACCATAAAATATATAAACCAAAAATCATCATGCTTTTAATTTATAAAATAAATCAACAGAAATCAACAGAGAACAATGTTTGGTTCGGGCTCCATTAGCAATCCGTAATT